AGATTTCATGTGAGACTCTTGTTACTTAATCTTACCGGTATGCACTGGTTCATACAGGCAAGTACCCGATGATGACAACAGTTGGGAGCGATGACTTCCGCCATTTACCCCACGAAGTGGGCTCAGCACCAGTGGGTGGCACGTTACTGACTTTTTCTAGCGGGAGAGGTCTGTGTAGCATCTTCAACACCCTCTCTGCTTCTCCCCCCTACCTTGTTGCGGTTGTAGAACAACGTCAAGACGATCGGAGACGGGCTTGGGCGCAGTGGCTGACAAACGTAAATATCCCGTCTGCACGTACTACACACGCGACCTGGTCACGACGGCGGCAGCGGCGGCGGAAAGGAAATCCCACAAGTGAGAGTGCTCTGCAAGTCACGTTGACGAAGCATGGCATTCGGGCTCTGAGTCCTGTGAGAGGATGACCGAGTAATCCGGCCCAGGTCAAGCCACGACTCTTGGTGCGTCCTGATGGATAAAAACGCGTCAGACTTACTACAGTGAAGAATGTGCTCCTGTGTTTGGCTGAGGAAGGCTCCCCGACCGGTTATGGAATTCACTAAGTCTCGGGACTCACTCTCGAGCCCCGCCAGTAGCAGCTAGTATGATAGGCAGGTTGACATTACCGAGAAAGGGAAACTGGAACGGCCACTTTTGACGCATTAGCTGTCATCAGTCAGTTATACACCCAATCCCGGGTGGTACGCCACCCGAAGCTTAAACCCGCGCCCTAACATTTCCAACAATGGCTATCTGTCTATAATCTTAGCCGCAGTGTGTGGCTGCTGGCGGAGCTCGAACGTGAGCCCCAAGGCAGAACGTGGAACGAGTGAGTTCCATTCAACCATCAAAGTCAATACTCCCGATAGGATAGTGCGCGGACAGAGCGTTGCACTTTTAATCAACAGGTCGCAGGTTCGAGACTCAGGTGGTGCATCACCCGAGGTAGCTGGGTACAGCTACCTGATGAGTCAGAAATGGCTATTCCAGTCTCTTCTGTCTCTGTCGGCAGTTCTCATCTGCCTATGCGGTTCCGACGTGCCGTAAAAATTACATCCCTAGGGTCGGTCTGACTCCCCTGCTCGCGCCAGTCGAATGCCCGAACCAGCCGGTAATGAGATTGGACGCAATGGATGACACGTCATGAAGACCTGCATCTAAAACGTGTGGATAAATTTACGTACGGCATTAGGTTTGCCAGGACCCAGGTCCCGCCAAATAGTCTGACTCCCCCCGGGCTGCGCAACAGTCGACTGCTGCTGGCGTGATCAGCATAGAATGAAAGGCGTAGACATCACTGTAGAAATATGGACAGCTCACCAGTTTGAGGTGTGGACATGGTGAAAGAGCCAACACAGAATGAGTCCAGTGTGGTGATACTGTCAGGGGCGGGCGAAGCAGTTGAGAGGAGTTGCTGTTTGGGGGTGACCTGTACGTCGGGTGTCCCGTTGACAGTGGGGAGCAATTCAGGGTCCCTGCTATCTTCCTCCGCCTCCTGTGTGGTGACCCGACTGTCGGCGTTGGTGTTGTTGTTGTTGTTTCTACGTTGTTGCTCTAACACCCAGATGCGTTGGGAGGGCTTGACGGCATCCGGCGGGGAGGTGGCCGACACAGCCGTGGGTTTGGCATCAACTTCCGGCCAGTTAGCCAGAACTGAGGGAGGAGGGCAAAGCGGTGAGAAGGAGAGGGAAAATAAGGAACGTTTATCTTGACGAGACTGGCAGAGCAAGACGCAAGAAGTAGGCGAACAGAAGTGAATCATCAGTGGAAAAAATAGAGCACCTATTGATGAGGGTGCAGTGATAATCGGGAGCTTATAATATGCAAATACTTAATCAAGGACTTCGAGTATAGGCATCCTGTTTCAAAGATATTTTCAAACGCTACTGGGCTTCTAATACTTCCTCGGAGTGATACTGAAAGCTCTGGGGTCCACTGCGTGCTAAGGCTATTGTAAATATTTTTGTAAGTCATAATGTCTGTTCATATGAAAGAACACAAGGACTTGGTTTTTCGAACAATAATGCATTTTTGGACCGGGAGGACCTTGAGTATAATCTCATGCAAGTTGTTTTCATGCACAACTCAAACGCAACTTAATTGGACATGGAAAAAGGCGACCGCTAGGGCGTGTGAGCATACTTCATCCGGTTGGGGTCGAATCTGATCTAGCCAACCTCCTACACACCCTGACGTCTGACAAAGGAATGGGGTGAGTTCGACTCAGTCTATCCACCACCAGCAGCGAGGGCCGAACGC